AAATAACAACAGGAAAATAAAGAGGTATGCTTGCAGGAGAAGCACAGGGTGGAAATCTTACCGCCTTTCGACTTCCAGAAGTTCGGAAGAATCTCAATGTAACATGTGTCCTTAAAGGAAGTCATGACAATAATTTTCAAACCATACTGCCAAAAAAATGTAAAGTGTTTGCTAGTTTAGACATTGAAAAATGCATGGATCCTTGATCATAAGTGAATCAAAAGAAAAAAGGGCTCTCCACTTGGGAAAAACACATGGTATCATGATATTTACTCTATTTCTTCACTTATTTAGAAACTGAACGAAAATGTTCTTGGAATTACATTCAGGCAACTAAAAAGATATTAAATCGCGTAGGCTAAGAATGAGGAGAAATATCCATTTGCAAGAAATGAACCAATAAACAAAACAAAAATCAACAATCGCAAATAAATTTATGGTTCTTCCAAAGAACGTGTTTGCTAACTTTATAATGCATACCGCATCTGCAGCTGCCTGCAATGTAACGTGATCACCCCACTCGCCGCTCCTGAAATCATTCATAAAGAGTGTTAACATAGATATGCTTTGCCCAAAAGCTCGAAATATAAGTAGCAAGAAAAGAAAAATTAAATACTTTGACATCTTCTTCAAATAGTCAGCATAATCCATGGGGACATATCCTTCATATGCCTCTGGGTTAGATTTAAGCTGGCAAAACAAGCTACTATTAGTTAGCTACAGCAGCACCGATATATTCATTATAGCTTAATAAACAAACTTAATGTTGTGTAAGCCAGCAATTTATTGCGGGACAACAAACCTGATTCACAATTTGCCGTCTCACATATTTGTGATTATCAGGTGTATGATATAATTGATGCGAGAGTGCACGGAACTGAAAAAGCAAAAAAATTGACCATAAATATTACAGCCGAAACGCGGAATTCAAACCAGAAACAAAAGAGAGCACACCTGACAATTGCCATCTCCTTGAACCTTGAGCTCAGCAAAACCGTATAGCTGCAATCTGGATAGAAAAAGAAATATATTAAGCATTAACCTTATGTAGCTGATAAAACCGAATTAACAAGCCAATCAACAACACCTTTCATGAGGGAAAAAACCTAGATGTATTTCTTATTCATGTTGCTCAAAGCCTCAAAATAAATTTTAACTTTTAAGAAATGAGAAAAGGAAAACAATACAAAATAATACCTGCTCAACAACCTTTCATGATCAGACATTGCTTCATCAATTGATGGTATTTCACCATTGATTCTAGGGACATGCTGAAACAAACAGATTTAAATACATCTGAAGAAAATGGGAGAGATGCAGAGTCATATGCATCAATACAGATTAACATCTATTAAAAATTTTAACTCCAAAACAGAACATCACATGTATGACATAAAAGTAAATATTAGAGAAAAATGGAACTTCTAAGGTAAACTTACAGGAATAGGAATCATTTGATTAAACCTCTTGCCTACTTCCTCATCATCGAGTAAATAACCCTCTGTTAGCTCCAAAGAGCCAGAAAAATCCTCTGAATCATTGGGGCTAGAGCAGGAACTATGTGGCACCAAATCGTCAGATTCATCCTGGCCATATTCATAGCCTGCAAGTTGTGTCAAATTAACTACTAAACAACAATAAGCAGATAAATACCTTAAAAGAAATAATAGGCAGGAAAACCTTCGAGCTACCTGAATAATAGTATGTTGTTGATGGAGTATGCCAATCATGGTGTTCACTGGATGATTGTGATTGCTCTTCCCCAGCATGAGAAAATTCTGATGCTTCTGCCACTGCAAGATGTGAGAATTCTTCCTGAAGGGTACGAGCGATGACCTCGTCATTCTCTATCTGGCTGCTTTGTGTATCAGTATGACCTCTATAATAGTGAGTGTGATGATGATAGATGTCTCCAGCATCATGCTGCACCATGTCACTACTATATGCACAATGGTAAAAAGGGTCACCCCCGAGAACCCAATGCACAAAATCTGAATCTTGCTGATACATAGTCATCAACTTCAAGTAATATTCCACTTAAAGAAACCTGATCGCCGCCTGTACAAACAACTCTCAATTAGATTTTTGTTCACGCATGAAAAGTAATTCAATATCCAGAATCCAGGTTCCATGAATGAAGAAACAACTCATATAAACTGCAATTACCCTGGAAAATCAAGGGATCTGCTTCAAGCATCAAATTAAGATACTCCAGAAATATATTCTTATTATGGCAGGTTAGTTTACCAGCCTAGAGAAACATTGATCTTTTAAATAATATTTGTTTTTATAAAAAACTTAATCTTCACTGAAGTTGAGCAATTGATCAAGTTGATTTATGCCTTGTTCAAGAATTGTCAAACTACTTGAAATCAATTACCTACATGACACCATGTTCTTCACTTAACTACTATTATTAATACTAAAAATTGAAAGTTTGTCAAAATAAATCCTTGAAAAAATATAGTTAAAACCAATTAAAATTAGTATAAAAAGAAACTAAAAATGATTTTAATAAACAAATGATGAGTTATCAGTTTACTTCAATCCAAGGATACTTGCTCCTGCATACATTATACCATTACTAAAGTGAGCATCATTCCTTATGAGTTAAGAATCCAGATAACCTAGTCTAAAAGAAGGCAACAAAAGAAGTATAAAAAGATAGTTTTAGCTTTTCAGACTAAACCCTAAATTGGAATCAACTTTATCAAAAGCCAAAACCAATATTAGATTTTAAAGACTAAAGTTTGTTTTAATGGAATTCCATCATACCACAGAATAAGCTCGCCACAGGCATCTAAATTTATTTGAGGAATCAATTGTATTACCTCCTAAAGTTCAATAAAAGGAAAAGGGGAAGAAAACCCTTACTTGTCAACAGTCAAATTAGATAAACCCGATTTCTTTTCTTTTTTACCCCTTTGGCCTAGATTCTCATTCAATCGTAATATCCTCCACATAGAATTTCATTCCCAATAAAATAATGAATCTAATGGCTAAAACTTATGTTGATTCTCTATTTACTCTCTTATCCATGCCTAGACATGTTTTGCATTTCTCCACCAAAACAAAACCATGGAATCAAAAATCCAATTCTTAGCAGGGAAAAGCATACAAAAATTCAATCAAAACCTAAGCTTTAACATTAAGCAACTTCAAAAACAAAAAGGAAAAAACACCCATAATTCAGAAAACAGTAATGAACAGTAACAATCAATCAAAACCCAGAAATGTATGATCATTCCCAAGTCAAATTCAATCAAAACAAGATTAGAAAATATGGAATTTATAAGCACTCACCAAAACCAGAAAAGCTTGAAACCTTGGATTCCAGAGAAGAAACCAAGAAAGAAAGAAAACAATGAAGTTTTGTTGTATTAATGGAGTGCACTAGACACATAAGATAACGATCAAACGTTGAAATGTTTTGAAAACCCAAAAAAAAATAGAATAGAAAAAACCAATAAAACTCACGTACTTGTAGAATAAGCTGTTTCCCGCGGATGCTGATTAAAACCACGATCACGCGTCCGTTGTACACGGACTCCCCTCTTACCGTTGGATCCTCCAAACAAGCGGACATGATTTTTCCTTTTTATTATTACATTTTCAATTTATTTAAATTCTGAGGCGAGTAATTTAGTTTTTGATTGAGAAGAGAATACTATGAAAAGCGAAGGGTTCGACATGAGAAAAGCTAGGAGATCTACGGCTGTAAGTCTAGTCCTATGAAATGACGTTTCTGACCTTGGCATTGAAACAATTTTACCGAATCCGCCATCAGCTTAGGAGTTCCGAAGTATTAATATAATAACAATTTAAACAGCGGCATGAATAATAATAGTCTTGAAAATTGCCGCCACCAAAGAAATAATTAACTTTGGGTGTTGAATTTCATGGTTGGCCTTGGCCTAGGGTACAACAACAGGTCGCAGTGCACATTTAATGACCGTCCAAATTATATGTACCACTTCTCATTTTTAAATCGTCACCAAATTAAGATCCATTCATCCATAGCTGTACTATGCAATATACTATATTTACATAGTATTGTTATTATAATGTAAAACTATGTCTCTTTCATTAGATAATATTTAATGAATAAAATATATAAATAATCTTCTAATTATAGAAGGTTGTTTTATTAAGTATATTAATTATTAAAATTTATAAAATTATCGTTGATTATATGATATCGTCTTTTTTAATCTTTCAACTATTAAAAATTATAAAATAACCACCGACTATTTACATGTTTCAATATCGTCCTTTCTGTTAAGAAATTGACGTCAATATGTGTTGGACGTTAACAATTTGATTATAATATGATAAACTATGATCTTAAATCTGAAACGACTATTATATCTTAGTCAACATGTTAATTTCCAAGTCAGACTATCAATGCTAATTTTCAACTCAAACTATCATCATTTTTTAATGAAAAAAGTGAGTTTGGAACATATGAATAATTGAGGGGTCATTTTAAAACTTTTAATAATCAAGGGAATCAACAAAGTAATATCCTATATTCGGAGAACTATTTTGTAACTTTTAATAGTAAAGGACTCAATAAAGTAATATCCTATAGTTAGGTGACTATTTATATACTTTACTCTATTTTAATATGCATGAACCCATCAAGTACACTCAGTGGTTAAGAAGCAATATTATTCTCCCTTCAGGTCTTGGGTTCAAACAATTACATTGTAAGACATGTGTACGTTCTTTTAACGGATAAGAAAGATTCTGAACATATATTACTCTTATAATCACCTTAATTATTAAAATAAATTAATATGCATTCATACAAAAGATTATCATAGAGCCTTTTCACATCTATGTTCAGAGAGCAGTCTGATACATAGTAGTAAAGGAGACAATATATTGCTCATCTATGTACTTGTGTAAGAAGTTTCACTGCATTGCTATGTCAGTTTCAAGCTACAACCTTTACAACTCTATTGAGGCGTTTTTCAAGTTATACAAGTTACCTGCTGTTAACATGTTCTTATGAGCATTGGAGTCCATGACCAAACAAACTTTTCACTTCTGAAATCTATAGCCCTTCGTTTACGTTCTCTTGAAGTTTCAGTAGAGACATCCTTCAATGGTGGTTCCGGATTTCCGAATCCTGTTGCCTCCACGATCTGGTTCACGATTTTTAACACCTCGCTCATCTTGGGGCTTGACTTTGGGTTTCTGACTAAGCATCTGTTGGCCACAACCGCTAGCCTTTGCGCTGACATGAGTTGGTATTTCCCGTTCAGTCTAAGGTCCAATATCAACTGGAATTTCTTATCAGATAGGTATGGTTTAACCCATTGCAAGAGGTTTTGCTCATTCTTGGGTTTGCTTTTGTCTAAGGGGCGCCTGCCCATAATGAGTTCATAGAGGAAGACCCCATAGCTCCTCAGATCGATCTTAGATGTCAAATGTCCCGTCTGGGTGTATTCAGGAGCCGCATATCCCATTGTTCCAACAACCTATTGAAGATCACCAATTTGATGCATGTAAGGATTGATGAACAAATATTGAAGTACTATCAAGAAATTTTGACTGCACAAACTGAACACTTAACACCTAACAAAGAATTAAAGCCATTTGTTCCTCGAGTGGGTTGAGATTACCCTGACTGTGTTTTCGGTTACCTTGAGATTACCCTGGTTGTGTTTTCGATTACCGAAGGACAACCTTCTTTTATCTTAAAAAGGATGAAGCCATCCATTTGTTTCAGGTATGCTCTGAAGGCAAATACAACAACATCTAAACTAATCCAATAACATTTGATTCATGAAAAATAGAAAATTTTTGGAGGTTTTAACCATTAAGAAACCTACTAGAGATGAAAAGAAAATTCAAAGTGAACACAAAATAAAAGGAACATACCGCTGTTGAGATATGAGATAATCCTTCTGAAGGACCCAACCTAGCTAATCAAAAGTCTGACAGCTTCGCATTCCATTGCTAGTCTAGAAGGATATTAGATGATTTAAAATCCCTGAAGATGATACATGCACCACACGCCCTAAAGCTAAGGATGATGAATTTACTATACCACTTGGCCCTATCACACGAGGTCGGGCCAAACTTCTTAAAGACAAGCTTCAAATCGTAGTTCAAACATTCATCCGTAAGGGTCTAATGCATAAGATTTACAACAACATTTTGAAGTGGATCCAGTTGTTATCCGGTCGACATGTCTTATGGAGATACAACCTTCTGTCTCTTAGCTTTCTAACGGTTCTTGAATCGCATCAATATGATATCGGGAACTCAAAATACGTTCATTTTAGTGAAGATAACGCATGCAGAAATTCATATACGAGATTAATACGTGATTTTGTAAATATTACGAATTTTTAATATTTATATTGATTATTTGTGATATAATTTAATATTGGATGATGCATTATCTTTTAAGATTAGATTTATTATTCTATTAGGAATTAAGGTTGAGTTAAAACATTATTTTTAGTTATTATTTTATTAAGAATTAGAGTTAAGACATGTTTAGTTTGTTATTATTTTATTCATTAGTTATTTAGGACCTTTAGAACTCACCCTATATAAAGGAGGCTTCGTTCAACTTTGTAAATCAGATTTCTTTGATTAATAATACAATGAGAGTTCATTTTTGCAAGTGTTGATTGCCTTGTGCCTTCGAAGCTTCTTCTCCTGGAGTTCTTTCAAGTTCTTGTGAGGGAGATTAATCTTCACACTCTAATTGCCTTTTCATCGCGACTAGAAGGGTTAGTTAGAGTCATATTATTGTGTTTGCCTTTTCATTGCGACTAGGAGGGCTCGATAGGACATTATCCATCTATTTTCCACAAATCCATCCTCACCATCATCACCTTAGCCATCCACCTTCACAAGGGAGATCTTTTGATTTCTTGATTATCATACTTTATTTTTAAGTTCTTTATCTTTTGTTTATATTATTCTAATATTACTTTTTACCTTGTTTCCAATACCTAAAAGAAACCCTAAGAACCCTACCTGCCACCGCCACCTTCACTTATTCATTCCCCATTGTTCTTCATCGAGTCTAGAACTTTCTAGGTTTGATTCGTCAACAAGAGCAACGTTCATTAATCCACCATCACTTCCCTGTTAATTGGTATCACATTTGGTCCGATTCTTGGAAAGAAGCAAGCAATCTTGCTTGTTCTTACACACAAAACCTTCAAGGTACCCTAACGGAGCTAGTTCACAAAAGATTCATCATTTCAGGTTCTTTTTATTTAATTTTAATTTAGATTCAAATTCTTCTTGTTAGTTTGTTGTTTTTAAAAAAAGGCCGAAAAAAGAAAAAATCACAAAAATTCAAAAATTGCAAATGAATGAATTTTGGGTTATTTTCTTCAGATATCATATTCATCCTAAGATTAATCTCCAGTACAAAAGTCACCCAAATCGGAGTTCATTAGAGCCTTCAAATACATCGTTCAAGTTTCATCGGTAGATTCAATCTAGAATCTTGTCGAATTTCTTGAAAATTATACATGAGGAATTTCGTGGTAAAAATATCCATATTGAATTGAAATATATTGAAGATCATTCACAAAAATCAAAATTTTTGGAGATCAATAACACCTTCGAACAAAGCGATCGCGAAAAGTAGACTGTTTGAGGACCCACTGTTCAACAGAGTCTACTGGATACTACTGAAGATATTTGGTTCTGAAAAGTTACAGGTGGTTTCTACACACATCAAACGACATTCAAGAATTTTTCCAAAATTTTTGGGCACTGGTAACCCACTCAAAAACGTTGCTCAAGTTGACCCAACGTTTTCTAGGTTTCTGGTTTTGTTTTTTTTTTCTTTGACTCTTAGTGATTTAGGTTCATTTGTTTTCCTTTTTATTGTTATTTTACATTATCTAACACATTATCCTCCTTGTGTTTGTAGGACTAAAGAGTTTGCATATTTCTTCCTTCGTTGCATTCTCATTCTTTTGGAGTCTAACCCTTGTTTGGTCTTTTAGAGCTTTTAGGTTTTCTTATCGCCTTTGCTAATAATCAAACTCCGATACGAACTGTGGAAGACTACTTGTTAAAATGAGTTTTAAAGAGTACAAGATCGGCTTACTTGCCTCTCGCTGTGTTACTTTCTTGGAGTGACTTGTAAGGTTTCTATCTTTGTTGAATTTTCTTTCTTTTATTTTTATTTTACTTTAAAATTTTCTTTTGAGTGTTATGATTACAGGATGGGCGACAATAACAACAAGACACTTACAACTATCTTAGTCGTACTTGAACTACTCACAACTCAATTTGAAACAAGTTTTGATCAACTTAGCAATGCTGTGAGAGAACGACAAGAACTACAACTGGATCTACCAAACCAAAATCCAAGACCAAACAATGTTGAACTTTTGGCCCCTAGGCAAGAACAACCACATTTTTAAGCACCCGAACTCTTTGCAAAACCAAAGTTCATGATCCCGTCTTTCAAAGGAGACTACAATCCGGACAAGTACATCGATTGGGAAGGAAAAGTTGATCTCATGTTCGCATACCATGACTACCCCCAAACTGAACAAGTTCCCCTCATCACCTTGGAATTCGAAGGATATACTCACACTTGGTGGATACAAACAAGGAAAAAATCGATAACTTCCAAATTCAACCAATCACTTATTGGACTGACCTCAAACAAGTCATAAGGAACCGATTCCTACTGATACATTATACACGAGAAGTTCAACAATGACTACACCAACTTTGACAAGGTAGAAGTTCAGTTGAAGATTACTACAAGGAGATGCAATCCTTACTCAATAGAGCTAACATAACCGAAGAAGAAGATGACACTGTGTCAAGATTCATCTTTGGCTTAAACTCAAACATCATTGATCTTCTTGACCTCCATGGGTATGAAAACCTTGAAGATACACTAAAGAAGGCAATGACAATCGAAGTACAAATCCAAAGGAGGTTCTGATTCAAAGAACATTACCAAGGTACTTTATTCTCTTACCAAGGTAATCCTTGAAATCCTTCCTCACCTTTTACTCCATCTTTTCAAAAAAAGTCGAGAGATGACAAACCCGACAAGGAGAAACAACGACCAGCAAAGAATGACATACTTTCAGCCCCTAAAGACGACACCAGAGCAAGAGACATCAAGTGTTTTAAATTCTTAGGAAGAGGCCATATCAGTTGCAATTGTCCAAACACGAAGATCCTAACCATACTAGGTGATAGATCTTACAATTCTGATTTCGATGACGACATCCCCGACATTCCAGTACATGCTGAAGCCAAAGAAGATAGTGATGACTATGGAAGCAATGAGTAAAATGACACATTCTTTGTGATCCGTCATAACTTGAACATCCAAGCATCCGACGAGTCTGACATACAAAGTTCCAACATCTTCCACACACGCTGCCAAATCAAAGAACAACCATTTTCCATCATCATTGACAATGGTAGTTGTGTCAATGTCATTAGCTCCAATGTTGTTGAATCACTAAAACTTTCTTACCAATGACATCCGAAACCTTATTGCTTGCAATGTCTTAATGAGAATGCCAGGATGAAGGTGGTTAAACAATGCCTCGTTACTATCAAGATGGGAAAGTATTGTGACGACGTATGGTGTGATGTAATTCTGATGCAAGCAATTCACATCCTCTTAGGACATCATTGGCAATACAACAACGACGTCACATATTATGGTCGAAAGAACACTTACACAATTCCAATAAAATGTAAACCATTCTGACTTAACCCTCTACCTCCCCCCAAAGAGATTCTCATAGATCAACAACGAATTTGCAAGGAGATTGGGAACTTGAAACAAAAGGAAAAAGAGGTCACAACTGATAAAAGCCAAACAAATGACCCACGGGTAGTGAGTGACCCTCAATATGAAAATAAAATAGTGTCTCAAAACATTTATGCGAGTGCAAAAGATAGGAGAGAGATCATTTTTCAAAATAAGTCGTGCATTCTAGTCTGTTTCAAGGACTCCGTTTTATCAACTATCACTAACATCACAGATTTTCCTAGTGTATTTTATTCTATATTGCAAGATTTTCAAGATGTCTTAAGCAACCCACCGGATGGTTTACCACCTACAAGAGAATCGATCATCAAATTGACATCAGTCATACCAACCCACCCCGATTACCGATGTAATCCTGAGGAAACGTGTAACACCCCAACCCATATCCGACCCGGATATGAGTCCGAGGTGTCACATTGACTTTTCAAAATTCTATTCTTTACAAATCCACCAAATCTTAAATTCATCTTTTGAGAAAATGCATACTTTACATTAATAAATACCATCACATTTGTCTTACAAACCAATCAGAGCATATTCAATTCAAATCTTGTAATTACATGCCAACTAAATTCTATAAAACAAAATACATATAATATATAATATGTTTCTGATCCGATATTCGTAAGGAAAATGTTGACCTGTCTTACTTCTCTTAGCATCTTTTCTCGCTTC